GGCTTCGAACCTGCCACCTTGGGTGTACGTGGCTGGTGCCTTAGCCACTTGAGCCACAGGCGCCGAGCCAAAACTGGGATATTTCTAAAATCAGTTTTCTCACCAGACTACACAGCCAGGCAAATTGAAGAAACTGGAAAATTTATTAAAGGAAGTTTGGAGAATAAAGCTGTTAATTGTAAATTTTGGCAATGGATGACAGCACTGATGTGGCAAATATGGCTCAACTTACCATTTTTATTAAAGGTATTGATGATGAATACAATGTCACTAAAGAAATGGCTTCTTCAGTACCATTAAAGAAGACATCTAAATCAAGAGAGTTAAAGGAAGTAGTGTGAAATATGTTGAAGCAATTTTCTTTGTCCAATGTCAACATATATGGTATAGTTACTGATGGTGCCTGGTGATGGTAGGTAAAAGAGAAGCAGTTGTAAAATTAATAGAAGATGATGCAATTGCTACCCAAAACTCATGTCTGATGAAGTATCATTGCATAGTTCATCAAGAAAATTTACATGCAAAACCTTTAAAAATGGTAATGTCACGCAAATTGTCATGGAGACAGCAAATTTCCTAAGGGCCAAGGGACTGAATCATTGCCAATTCCAGGAATTCCTTAAAAGGACTGATGCTATGACAATATCATGTATCAATAGTTTTCAGAAGAAAGATGGCTAAGTCAAGGCTAAATGCTGAAAATAAAATTTTTTTTTTTTTTTTTTTGGAGACAGAGTCTTACTCTGTTGCCCTGGGTAGAGTGTGAAAGGATTTTATGATTTGTGACAAGTCATTAAGTTGTTTATGGTATCAAAAACCAAAGTTGAGCTGAATGTGGTGGCTCATACCTATAATCCTAGCACTTTGAGAGGCGGAGGCAGGTGGATTTCTTAAACTAAGGAGTTCAAGTCCAGCCAGAACAAAGACCCTGTTTCTACCAAAAATAGATAAACTAGCTGGGCATTGTGGCAGGTGCCTGTAGTCCCAGCTACTCAGGAGGCTAAAGCAAGAGGACTGCTTGAGCCCAGGAGTTTAAGATTGCTGTGAGCTAGGATGCCATGGCCTACCCAGGGCAACAGAGTGAGACTGCCTCAAAAAAACCAACCAACCAAACAAACAAAAAACCCCCCAAGAAACAAAAATACTAAACCAAACTTGATGATGAAAATTGGCTTTCTGATTTATCATTTTTAGTGGATTTAACCACTCATTTAAATGAGGTAAACACGTGTCTTCAAGGTGAAAACTAACTAATTAATACAGTGTTTCAAACTATAATAGCATTTCAAATGAAAATGAAATTATGGCAAGCTCAAAATAAGGCAAACAATTTTATGCATTTTGACATATTAGTGAAACACAGTCCTATGAACAGAGAAAAATATGCAGCCTTGCTTTTTGATTTGATACAAGTATTTGAAAACAAAAAAATCAATATTTGGGTGCATTTGTGACTCCATTTTCAGTTGACATAAATATGTTACCTGCCAATTTTCAAATGGAATGCACAGACCTATAATCTGACATTCAACTTAAAAGAAATTTGATCATGTCTCTTTATGGACTTTTATATAGGTCCTATCTTCCCAGAGACAAATATCCCTTGCTTCACAATCACACCTTATGTCATCACTTTTTGGCAGCACTTATACTTGTGAGCAACTCTTTCCAAGTATGAAGCACATTAAGAGTAAAAGTGAAACCAAAATATCTGATGAGCTCCCTACTCCTTAACAACTCATGGAGAATTCAACTACTTCCAGAATATTAATGCATTAGTTTCTCAAATATAATGTTAAATATCCCACTAGTTTTATGTTGCCCACTTTTCTTTTACTTTTATAAGAAAAAATATTAAAAAACCCTGAAGATGTTTTATTACCTAGATATGTACATTTTCTATATTAGTGATTGCAAACTTGCCAGGCCGCTGCATAATTAGGATTATGTTGTGAGGACTTTTTTGCTTACTTGTGGCAGACATCATAAATTAAGCACAGATCTTTTTTCTTACTCTTTGGCTTTTTCATTAGTGTTTGTAGATTTAATGTATGGCCCAAAACAACTCTTCTTTTTCCAATGTGGTTCAGAGAAGCCAAAGGCTGGATACTCCTGTTCTATGGTATTTTATGATTTGTACTACTATTGCAAATGGCATTAGATATATTTTTTCTATCTAGCCATCTTTCTACTGCTGTAATAAGCTTTCCAGGTTATTATCTAGTCTTTTTCAGGTTTAAATTGGTAAACTTACCTTTCTTTACATATGAAAGTATTTAGAACTGTGTCTGACACATGGTGCTATTACCATCTCTAATACTATACTTTTAAATTTTAACTGCATTGGGTATCAGTTTCAGAACAAAATAGTGCTGACAGTCTTATACCTGACCTCATTGGGAATACTTCCACGTACTTCACTACTAAATATATGTTAACTATTATTTTGAAATCTAGGGGTTAAATAAGTCATATTAAGGAACCATATTTCTAATACTATCTTTTAAAACTTAAATCAAGAACAATATTTATTAAATACTTTTTTATTATCTAAAGATATCATATGGTGAATTCTACCAATAGAGTTAATATTAAACTATCATTGCATTTCTGGAACAAACTCACTTGGTTATGCTTTCTATTTGCTAATATTTAGAGAATTTAAAACTTATATTTGTTGCTTGGTGCCTGTAGCTCAGCAGCTAGAGGGTACACCTCATACACCTGGAGCTGGTGGGTTTGAGCCTGGTCTGGGCCAACAACAACAGCCGCAACCAAAAAATAGCCAGGCGTTGTGGCAGGAGCCTGTAGTCCCAGCTGCTTGGGAGGCTGAGACAAGAGAATTGCTTAAGCCCAAGAGTTTGAGGTTGCTGTGAGCTGTGACACCATGATACTCTACTGAGGGCAACACAGTGAGACTCTGTCTCAAAAAAAACAAAAAACACCTATATTTGTAAATGAAATTTGTAACAAATCTGTATTTTTCTTTTTTAGGGCTATCTCTGTCAGGCTTTGGTATCAGCATTATGTTTACTTTATACAAATGTATATATAACTTTCCTTACTTCCCTATGCTCGAGAATATTTCAGATGGCATAGAAAAATTTTCTTCTCTTAAGGATTGGGAGAATTTGTCCATAAAACTGTTTGGGTATGCTGCATTCTGAAGAATAGCTTTTGATTACTTTCTCCATTTTTTTTCCTTTGGTTATTGATCTATGTAATTTCCTACATCTTCTCATGAGTCGAAATTTACTATGACTATACAAAATACTTTTTCATTATAGAAATTTGTTGACATTTCCCCCCATAATGCAATGGAAGCCATATATCTACTCACAGTGGGGTCAGTCCAGAGAGAGCATCTTGAACACTCCTGACAGGGGGCTCCCGGTGACCGGGGATGCTGGCAAAAATGGTCATACCCATTGATAGACACGCGACAGAGGTAGCACATTTGGGCACCACAGCGACAAGACATGCGGTTGCAGCCTTCAGATTTGATGAGACCGGTCCCACACTTGTGGCATTTTCTAATGCGGGCAGCAGTCATTTTTTCTTCACTGAAATAAAAAACATGATTGCAGCTGGCAGTGAAGTAGAGGAAGGACAAAAAACATTATAGCCATTAAGCATTTATTTCTTCCCACACATAACAAATGCCTATGGCTTTTGGTGACATTCAAAGAGTGAAAAGAGCCCATGTTTTGGAGTCTGAAGACTGGTTCCAAAGTTTATCATGAGCGTGGGTAAATTACCCAACTGCCTGGAGACTCAGTTTCCTCATACTCTTCCTAAGTTATGTTTTAGATATACAACGTTGGACAAATGAGAGCCATTAAGGCTCAGTTAGTTATACACCCTGGATTTTTGAATACCAGGCCTTCTTTGTTGGTAGAGCTTACTTCCAATGTCAGTCTCACACTCCCAAGGAGCATCTCTTACAGCTCAGGCCTGGGCTTGAACATGACTTCATCCTGGCTAATGGGAAGTTACCTGTTTCCAGAATCATTTGAACTGATATGCAAAGGCAACTGACTAGTGTGAAAATGACAGATCGCTCTTTTGTCTGGAGCTGCACTGCTGAATTAGGTGCTTCTGTAGCATTCTGTAACTATAAAGTAACACTTACTGCTTTCATCTATAATGGTTTATGTGTTCTCCTCTACTAAGTCTTGAAGGCAAAGGGTAGGGGCTGGGACATTTTATCAGCCTGCAGAGTAAGTGCAGATATTTATCTATTTTTGAGACAGAGTCTCACTATGTTGCCTTGGGTAGAGTGCCATGGTATCACAGCTCACAGCAACCTCCATCTCTTGGGCTTAAGCAATTCTCTTGTCTCAGCCTCCCAAGTAGCTGGGACTACATGCGTCCGCCACAATGCCTGGCTATTTTTCTGTTGCAGTTGTCTTTTTTGTTTAGCTGGCCCGGGCTGGGTTTGAACCCGCCAGCCTTGGTGTATGTGACTGGCGCCTTAACCACTGTGCTATGAGTGCCAAGCTGTAAGTGCAGTTTTGATAAGGGAGAGTTAAGAAATATGCTACTAAGACCTGGGCAGAACACAAAGGACCCAAATAGTGGACAGCTGGATAAACCACAACTCTCCCTACAGCTCTGGCCTCATGTTAATAACAGGCTGGGAGTGAGTTCTGGGCTTCAGACTCTGGACTGAGGCTGGCAATACCACCTTTCTTCCTCCTGCTACTAATTCTGTTAAGTGAGCGCAGCCAGGTGACTCTGGCAAGTGCTTTTAACTACTGATATTTAGAAGACTGCTGCAGTGGGCTCCTTAGAAATCAGATCATGTGCTTAAAAACAGAAAAATACATTAAAAAATCGGCTGCTACTTACTTAGGCCTAATTTGTGAATAGCCTAAAATAAAGGAAGGTAGAAGTGTAGATTGAAAACAACTTAAACCCAGTTCAAGTCATAGAACAAATGAATTCTAACTTTAATTGAACAGAAAACATCAAGGAGACAAAGCCTAGATAAAGTGAATTTATTATTTTTGGCTTAATAAGAGACTACATATGTTCATGGTCTTAGTTACCCAGCAATGAGGACAATACTACTCAGTGCTCCATGTTAAGACCCAAGGTTCTCCAATCTGAGCAGGAGTGAGACCCTGTCTCTACCAAAAAATGCTAGCTGGGTGTGGTGGCAGGCACCTGTAGTCCCAGCGACTCTGGAGGCTGAGGCAAGAGGATCGCTCAAGCCCAAGAGACTGAGGTTGCTGTGAGCCGTGACACCACAGTACTCTACCCAGGGAGACAGAGTGGGACACTGTCTCCAAAAACAAACAAACAAACAAAAAAATAAACAAAAAACACTCAAGGTTCTGGCTGGGTGTGGTAGTTCATGCCTCTAATCCTAGCACTTTGGGAGGCCAAGGTTAGAGGATCCCTTGAATCCAGAAGTTGAGCTAGGCTGATGCCACAGGATTCTAGCCTGTGAAACAGTAAGACTCCATCACAAAAAAGAAGATCCAAGGTTCTGATTAAAAAGTTTCCATTTTAAAAGGCTGTGTCTAAACATAATTGTAATTTTGTCTTTTTTCTTTATTCCTTTTATTGTTTATGAGTTGGGGTCTTCCGCTGTTGCCCAGGCAGGAATGCAGAGAAGCTACTACAGCTCACTGCAACCTCAAACTCAAGGCTCAAGTAATCCTCCCACCTCAGCCTCTGGAGCAGCTGGGACAAGCATATGCTACCATACTCAGCTCATTTTTTCCATTTTTGGTAGAGACCAGGTCTTGCTATGTTGCCCAAGCTGACCTTAAACTCCTGACCTTAAGCAATCTTCCCACCTATGGCTCCCTGTGATTTTCTATAGTACAAACCCTCCTGTAGAGACTGAGTTGTACTTTATTTATTTATTTATTTATTTATTT